CAAGCTTTCACACTTTATATTAATGATTTAGAAGAGGAAACTAAATGTAATATCCCAAGTTAGCAGATACACAAAGCTGGGTGGGAGGATGAGCTGTTAGGAGGATACAGAAGTGTTTCAGTGTGATTTGGACAAGTTGAGTAAGTAGCCGAATATATGGCAGATGGATTATAATGTGGATAAATGTGAGATTATCCACATTGGTAGCGAAAATGGAAGATAGATTATCTGAATGGAAATAGGGGGAGATCCAATGAGACCTGGGTGTCATTGTAGACCAGTAACTGGAAGTAAATGTGCAAGTGCAGCAGATGGTGAAAAAGACAGAACGATACATAGGCTTTCATACCGGGAGGATTTGAGTACAAGAGCAAGGATTTTTGCTGCGATTGTATAGGGTCTTGGTGAGATGATATCTGCAACGTTGAGAGTAGTTTCAGTCTCCTTATCCAATGACATATATTGTGACTTTGGAGGGAATGCAACAAAGATTTACCAGACTGATTCTGGTGATGGCAGGATTGATGGATTGTTATAAAGCAGAGGTTGACACCACTCTGAGAACTAAAACTGAAACACCCAAAGAGGAGCACCTCGCTTTATAATCTATTAAAAGCAGTGTGAAAAGTGGTGTAACCTCCTCTTCAACAATTTCTAAATAAATCTCTGACACTCCCTTTATAATCAACAAGTAACAATTTATTTATCTAACTCTAACAGTGAACAAATTAACTAAACTATTAACAAACCGAATAAATTCTTTCTAACTATTAACTATTTCTGAATAAAACAAGATTGTAATACAAGATTACAATAAATACAATAAGAAGTTCAGAGGAAGGGTCACCGGACCCGAAACATTAACTCTGTTTTCTCCTTCTCAGATGCTGCCAGACCTGCTGAGCTTTTCCAGCAACTTTGTTTTTGTTCCTGATTTACAGCATCCACAGTTCTTTTGGTTTTTATACAATAAATACCAGTCCCACTTACATAAAACAAAATTTAAAAAAAAATAGAATTTAGTCTCTCAAAATTACAGCCACGTTAGGTGTCTTCTGGAATGCTCTGTGCCTTCTCCATCGATTTTTCTGTCAAGAATATTAACAAGTTGTGCCGTGGGTACCTTTGTTCTTTAGATGGTGCTTTCTCTAAGACAAATAGGAGTCTGCGAGAGCCAGCGATTCTCTCTTGAGAGCTGAAGGCTGTTAACTCTGGCAGATGGCAGTTAGCTCTCCTGTCTTTGTCCAACTGCCTTCTCCTTTTATACCCTTGATGACATCAAGTTCTTACAATAGGATAGGTCCTATGTTGTCAAAATCATCAGATTTAAGTTTAATTGATTTTTGGTATGTAAGCGTCTGGTTTAAATTGATTGGCTAAATTCAAAAGCTTGTTGTCTTGGTAACAAGACAAAACTACTGTTTGGCCTGCTAACATATGGCCTTTCGATACAAATGTTTCAATTCAGGTGCTCTCTGTGTACTGGCAAACTTTCAAGCTGCTCACAGGCATCCATTTTATATCTCTGGACATAGAAAAAGCACATAATCTTTTAAAGGTACCACGCAACGCTCTTGCCCCAAGCATTTTACAAACACCAAATTCTAACCTCCTGTCTCTCAATCCACAAGAACTCTACAAAATTTTGCAACAGTATGAGGGCAGACTAGATCTGTTAGGACTACATTCACTAGAGTTTAGAAGAATAAATGATCGCACAAAAAACCTGTGACATTCTACCAGGACTAGACAGGGTAAATGCAGGAAGGATGCTTTCGATGACCACGGAGTCCAGAACCAGGGGTCACAGTCTAAGGATATGGAGTCGGCCATTAATGACCAAGATGAGGAGAAATCTTTTCACCCAGAGAATGGTAAACCTGTGAATTCTCTGCCACAGCAGGCAATCGAGGACAAAGCATCAAATGTTTTTAAGGAGTTATAAATAGTTCTTAGAGCTGAAAGTATCAAAGAGTATTGGTACAAAGTGGGAACAGGGTACTGAGTTGGATAATCAGCCTTCATTATGTGGAAGAGTGGACAAGCTCAAAGGGCCTATTCTTGCTCTTATTTTCTATGTTCTATTTTTTAAGATCATGGGCTAAACTCCATTCATCAGTCTGCCCCTTCAATCAGTGACCCAGCTCAGAACATTGCTTCTAATTTTGGCAGATCCCTATTCCCCTTTTAACATTGTTTCCTTGGGAATTCTGGCTGATCGCTACCATAAATACTGGTGCATAGTAATTATTCTACATGTCTACCATTTCCTTACTTTTACTAACAATATCATTACCAGTTTTCAAGGGGCCAACATTGCTCCTGACCACTCTTTATGCTAATGTAATTGTGAAAAATGATATTGACTGTGTTACATCTTGCAAGTTTCTTTTCAAATCCAATGTGATTCTTTGTCTGTTTTGTCATCCTGCACTGTTTTTCTTTCTAATTATCCAGGATCCAGATTTTTTTTTTGCATTTCAGCATACTACGTATTTTAATTCTCTGATGCCTCCTAGATCTTTAGTTAATTTTGGCATGTAGACTTCTGGCCCCTTAGAAAATATAAATTGGTCGTGTATCACATTAAATTTTCTTTTTCAACATTCCCTACCGATCTTCTGTTGCTTTACCTTTAATATACTTGCCCACGAGAATACCAAAGCCATCTTTTTCAACTTATGCCCCAGAAGTTCCACTTCTTCAAGATGATGGTCAAATTAAAGTCTTTACAAGCACAAGAGAATCTATTAGTCACTGCATGTGTTCCTCAATATGGAAATTTTGTGCAGCATCTTCAATATAGAGCAATTCTCAGAATGAGGATTTGGTGGATTTTGTCTTGAATTTCAGGCTAGCAAAGGTGAAGAGATTCCTACTTCCAGTTCTGAGGGTCACCAGACCCGAAATGTTAACTCCGATTTTTTCTTCACAGATGCTGCCAGATCTGCTGAGCTTTTCCAGCAAGTTCTGTTTTTGTTTCTGAAGAGATGCCTGTTGGCTCTAGTATGTAAGTAGACAGTCGCAGTAGATGACTTGTGGGCACATAATGGCAGCAAAGAGAAGTACATACCAAAGACTATTAGGGCCAGAAAACAATGCTGATTGACCCCACTGAAGATAGCAAAGGATTCCGATGTTGCCCCATCAGAGCTGACGTTACATCATGTTGTCATGAAAGGAGGTGGTCACAATGAGCAGTTATGACAGGCAGTTAAGCTCCTCCAGCAGGTTAAATGGGCTGTCTCCTCTCATGTGCTCATTTGCCTTGGAGAGATTGATGAAGGCAACCTATACTAGTCTCCTTGTTCACTGCATTTCTCTTGCAGCTGCTGGGCTGAAATTTTCACATCAATTGTGGGAAACCAGACTGGGATTTGGGATAGATGTGTTTGACCAGTATTTGCGGTGTGATAGTGAGAACAGAGGCAAATAATTCTCCCATGATGCTCAGCTGTGAAATGCCTTAACAGCTACTCTTGCTCGTGTTCTTGTACAGGGTCACAATCTTTGCATTACGTAGGTCCTGGGGCACCGACCCTCCCCCAAACAAGAAACTGAAGTTCACAGCGTTGATTTCATTCACTTGATGAGTTCAGGGCAGTATTGCATTATCACTTTGCTCACAGCAAGTGAGTCTATAGCTTTGTCAAGTTCTTTCGTTTTGGCTTAGATACTCAGCTTTACAATGATAGACCGGCTTTCTATGGGGTTTATTGCTTCTTCAGTGACAGCATCCTCCCAAAACACTTGGTAGATGATTCCCACTTATCTTCACATATTCAAATATCTTATCTTCAAATATTCGCTGCAGCCAACAATGACCACTGCTGCTTTTGTTTTCTTACTGATGGATCTGTTGCCTTTTAGTTCCCATCAGGCACACCCATAGCATTGCTTATGAAAGACACTGCCCTAACCAGTGACACCCATGTCCTTTTCTTTAAAATCTTTGTTCAGCATCAGATTACAGGGTATAAACTATCATCCCCAGTCTTCCATGGGTTCACCCAATTGTACTTCTGCAACCTCTTCAGGCATTATATTTGTCTTCATTTTCAACCTCTGGAAAACATTCCATAAACACCTGCTCAGTACTTTATTCTCTTTGTAATTCACTCATTTCTAACTCTTCTCTCTAAATTAGGATGTATTGTTACTCTAAAAATCCCTATTTACACATTACGGTTCTGGTGAAAACAGCTCACACACAGCTATACTTGTGGATGGCAAATGAAAATAACCATGTAAATAGTACCTACGATAAGTTTTATGCAAATAGAATTTGGGGATGACATTCATCAAGCACCTGAGCTGCTTTCTGTCAAAATACTGAAAAATTGACAACATTTAGATGGAAATATGCTTTTTGCTCCCCATAATTTACCCAGTTCAACCTGAGCTAAATATAATCCATCAGTTGATGGATTACTGTTTAAAAAAAAACCACGGAACACCAATTCCAAAACCAGCTTCACTGATAAAGTAAACTGAACAAGTGATAAAGTTATTTTTCAACCCAGCAGTACAAGTTTGATGGAGGGGGAAAAAGCAAATTGTCAAACCACGGACTTGAGAGAAGCACGTAGAAACTTGGATGAAATCAAAAATGAAACATAAAGGCTGCAGAAATAAGTTTTATTGAATAGAAGCATAACAAATGAAGATGAATACAATGATAATAAATGGATGGTGTTTTGAAGAATGCATGACTGAGCTGGAAAGGAGTGGAGGGATGGGGAAGGGAATAGCGAGCGACGGGATGGGTATGGAAGGGGGGCGGTGTTTGTGACTGGCAGATGAGGAGGTATCTGAGCAGGGTGGGGCGGGGGAGAACTTCAGATGGAGAGTGAGCAGCGTGTAGGGAGGGAGGGATGGATGAGCGGGAGGGAGGGTGAGAATGGGGGGGGGGAGAATGGGGGGGTGAGGGTTGAGAGTGGGGACTGAGAGAGAGGGGGGCGGGAGGAGCACAAGCCGGGCTCGGTCACTACCCCCACCCCGTCCCCGGTCTCCTTACCCTCCGGCGGTGAAGCCTTGTCTCTTGCTACTCGAGAAACGAAGAGTTTGGAGAAGAGGACAGAGAAACAGAGCACGATACAGGAAAGTAAAGCCACTTTGTGTACGGCCGAGGCCATGGTGCGGAGAGGGGGAGGGGAGAAACCGGAAGGTGCAGGGTCACGTGCCCCTGGATTCCGGTCGCCCCGGAAATAAATACTGCTTCGGAAGCAGATACCGGCCTCTCTTCCTCTCCCTCTCCCCGGGTGGTAGGAGCTGCAGGTGGAGGAAAATCCGGCGGTAATTGACTTTTATTGTCCGCGGTGTTCTACTATCACCCACTTTGTTCGGGTTTTAGTTTGGATGGTGGTGATCTCCTGGGAAAGGCCTTGCCTGGTCCGCTGGATCCCCGCTTGGGTTGATTTCCACACCCCTTCCCCGGGGGTCTCACCCGGATTGTGGTCGCGCACTTTAAACTTTTTTTTCTTCTTGAAATCCAATTTTCAGATCTTTGGTGGAAATGTGAAGTTTGGAGGCGATGGCGCTGCTGGCCTGGGTGAAGGGTGGCCTGAGTTTATTCCATGTGGCTGGATGAGGAACTTGAACGAGTGGTGCGTAAATCCTAGATTATCATCTGGCTTTTTCTTACGGTTTGCTCTTTAACTTTCGCTGTCTCTTTTTTTTTTCCTATTCCTCTAATTGTGAGCTGATGTATATGTAGTCTCATTTTACTGGCCGTAAAGAAAATTGGAAACCACATGCACATGGCACTCGCTTCATAAAACACTGAAAGCATCTGAAATTAATCATTACTGAGCAGGAAATGATGTTTAACTCACGATGGTCTTCATAGTCTTCTGTGATGAGACTGCCTTAAGGTCTTCCTGATTACTGCTCAGGGTTTCATCAAATTAATTTGCAAAATTGATGCTGGAAAGGTACTGGCGTTATTTGGCTCATTAAATATCAAAAAGTTAATTATTAAATACCTTTTTTGAGTTTGTTATTGTCTAAGTTTTTATAGTTTTGATGTAAACCTTTTCAAACTGAAAAGTTTTCAAGGCTTGTACAATAGAACAAATCCGTATTCAATCCATTTGCCGAGTATAGTGTTCACTTACCCACTTAGAATTTTTAGTTTCCATTTGATTATCTGTCTTGGGGAAATCCTGATATGTCTTGTGTAAACTAACTGTATAGTAAACCATACTTGGGAGTAAGAGTCTGCTCTCCTTTTATTTTGTGAGAGTATGAGGTGGGTAAAGGAGTTGTAGTTGAATACCAAAATAAAAACCTATGATGGACTGGATAGCAGGAGAGATTAAAATGATAGTAGTGCAACCAAGAAGTAATGGGTTTGCATTTGCAAATCAAAAACTGCAACAGTGGGTGAGTGGCTGAGTTAGGAGGGCTGCGAACTGCTGTTTCAAAAGATGGTGGTGTTCCTCGTGAAAGCTTATTGAACTTCAAAGAATTTAGTGACTGGACACAATGCGTTTTAATTGGACTGACCAGAGGTATTCTGTGAGATGGTGACCTAATTTGGCTTTGGCCTTTTTGGTGTCGAGGGCTGACTTTTGAGTGACAAATGTAGGATATTAAATAGCCATACAGCAAAGGTGTACTTGCGTCCATTGCTTCACCTGGCAGTTCATTCCACACACTTACCACTTTTTTTTAAAAAGTTGCCCCTCATGTCCACATTAAATTTTTCTCCTCTCAAACGTCCCCTGGTTTTAACCACCCCACCCTAGGGAATAGAACTTTGCTGTTCACCTTGCCTATGCCTCTCGTGACCTTATAAACCTCTATAAGGTCACCCCTCAACCTTCTACGCTCCAGTTTTTTTTTAAAAAAAAGAAGTCCTGGCCTATCCTTGTATCTGCAAACAGTACTCCAGAAGAAGCCTCACCAATGTTCTGTATGACCTCTTGACATCCCAACTCCTTTCCTAAGGTCTAAGCAAGGAAGGCAAGCCTGCTGAACGCTGCCTTAACTACCCTGTCAACCTGTGATGCACACTTCAAAGCATTAAGTACCCAAACCTCTAGGTCTCTGTTCTGCAACACTTCCCAGGGCCCGATTAATATATATGTCCTGCCCTTGCTTTGTTTTACCAAAATGCAATACCTTGCATTTATCCAAATCAAACTCCATCTGCCATTCAGCAAGTTGACTCAATTGATCAAGATCTCTATGTAATCTTAAATAACCTCTTCACTGTCCGCTATACTGACAATTTTTGGTGTCATCTGCAGACTTCCTAACTGTCTCCTATATTCATATCCAAATCATTTATTCAAATGACAGACAAAAGTGGACTCAGTATCACCACTGGTTGCAGGCATCCAGTCTGAAAACAACCCTCCTCCACCACCCTCTGTGACTGTTAAGCCAATTTTCTATCTGTCTATTAGAAAACAGTATTTCTGAATACTGAGGGAGCAGCAATTCTGACTTCAGCCCCGGTCTCTTTCACATCTGACTTGTGCTTGTGTAAGGCTGATATGTGATCTCTGAAAATACTTGTCATGATGGGCTGCAGTGAACCGACTTATTCTTCCCAGCATTTGATCTGTTATGAGTTAGTTGTATGTAATGGCATCTGAATTGTTTCTGCAGACTGTGAAGTTTGTAATCTTTGATAGAAACTTGTGTTGTGACTGGTTTATTTGTAGATATGACTGAGTCCTGGGAGAAGCTCACCCTGAATCGCTGTACTTGGTATGCCCAATTGAAACGTGAGGCGAATGCAAGGAGAAGAAATCCAAGCCAGCAATGTGTACAAAACTATTGTCTGCACTGTACTGTTCTGGTTGTCCTGGGTTCACATTGCCCTGACTTATGATCCGTGAAACCATATCTAGCTCTCGAAGCGGTGAACATTATTAACTTTGCCTTCAGGGCCAAGTTTGACATTTTCGATATTGTACACGTGCTTCTTTTCTCCTCAAGCTTTTTTTGGGGAGCCTTTTTTCCTCCATGTATTTTCACCAGGTAGGCACAATTCAAGATGTCAATTTTTATTCTGTTGTTATTTCATGGCATGATGACTTCACACTGCTTACAAGTTGGTGGTTATTTGGGATCTGCTGGTGCTGTTGTAGATTTGGCTAGGCTATGAATTTTGCAGTGGTTACTATGCTGATTTTTATTCCCAAACCTCTGAAAAGTGCATAATCTGAAGTATGCATTTCAAAGTCTGCCTTCTCCACACTGCGCTTTTCTGGTCCAGGGTTAAAATGATGTTTATACTCACGATGGTCTTCTTAATGACTGTGATGAAATTGCTTTATAGCAGTGACTGACTACCCTGGGATAGGGATGAAGCAATTAGTCGAATGTGTTGCATGAATGTCTGTGTCACACATCTAGATTAGTAGAAGCAGGATAATTAGCCCCTCAAACTCCACTATTCAGTAAGTGCATGTTTCCTAATTACTTCATATTACCACTTACCCACAATAACTTCACTTTTTTTTATAATAAAAGATCTATCCATCTTTGCCTTTTTATAAAAAATATCAGTGACACTGACTTGTATTGAATAAGTAGACGGTTCAAACTTGTAATGTTGTCTGAGCAGTAGTGTAGATATTTAATAGAAACATGCCTATTGTAATCTTGCAAAGAGATAACATCTCATCTCATGGCAGGATCAGCATTAACAACCAATCTATTTGGTTTTGGTTCTGTTTAATGGTATCTAAATTAACACCCTGATTCAACATTATATGTTCCAGAGACCATATCGGACATGAGTGAATTGAGCTATGATGAGTTCCTATTGAGAACACCTCCATGGAAAGGCTGGAATGAATTTCAACATGTTTCAAATCTGATCGGATTCCCAACAGAATATTTCTTGGTGCTACTTAAGGCTTGTGAATGTGCAATGATCACTTAAAGGTTATGTAGAATATATTCAAATAAAGTTCCTTATTCAAATTACTGTTTAAGCTATTGTATTAACTTTTGATTTCACTGAATAGTAGTCACCAAGCATTCAGATGCATCTAGTAAGTAGGTCAGTTGGAAATGTGCTGAGACAGTAGTTGGAACACTGATTAGAATGGACTGTTTGAGCCTGCTCTGCTAGTCAGTGTGATTATGACTAAACTGTGATCGCACACCAAAATATTCATTCCTTATACCATGTTCTAGGTTCAGCCATTTGTTTCTAATCTTTTTTTTTCAAGATCTGAAATAGGATTTCTGTTAATGAAGATGAATCATTTTTTTAAAAAAAAAGTTGCTCTCAAGCATGATATGGCACAATAAACATTTTTGGTTAAAAAATAAACTTATGAGAGCTACTTCTGCAGAAATTAGGATGCTTCTAGATAAGGTAACCAGTGCAAATTCATGTGATTTTGGCCCAGTTTCAGTACAGAGGGGCTGATCAGCAGTTAGTGTCTTTAATCTAATCATTTATTAGAATAATGTGGCTATTGTAACAGTGTATAAATATTTGGGACTGTCAGTGTCTTAGACTGCCTCTAGAGACTTCATTAGACTGCATTAGTAAAGAGCTCCAAATACTGGACATGGGATATAAGACTCCTCTTTGAAATCTCTCACCAGCAGTTGGCAGGATGCTGTACGAGTGCACAACAGACTATGGGTCATTAGTCTTCGGTTGCCTGAGAAACTGAAACTGCAATAAGGTACATGTCCACAGGCAGTGTGACCTTGGTAACGATCAGATTGTGGGCTGATGGTGTTTAATAGCCCAAATGCAAGCTAATGTTATTCATTTTGCATCTAGTAGGATTGAAATCTTGTCTTGTGCTTGCTTTTTCTTCTTCTCTCCTTCCCTCCCACCCTCATCACAGCATTCAAGAGAACGGCCAGAAATAACAACCAGTCACATGAATTTTTTTCGAGAGTCAGGTTAGACACTGACTTGGAGCTTGCCTGACCTAGTCCATGGCACAAGTCCAAGGGGTGAGGGAATTTTGGGTGAAAGCCACCTCAACACTGACACGGTCCAGGAGAAAGCAGCCTGCCTGATTAGGAATCCCATCCCACTGAGCGCTTAATCCATCCGTCAACAGCTGCTTCTATGCACCTCAAACATGCACTGCAGCAACGTGCCAACAGCGACTCTGCTCTGGCTCCATTAGCAGACATACTGGCAAGATGGTGTAGCCTGATAACATTTGACAATTTATTCCATCACTGCTTATAGGGATTAGAGTTTTTACTTGCTGTAGAGTTCCACATGTAAAAGCCAGTCCTTTGTTAGCCATTTTGATGCAGAAAATAATGCAGTTTGTATGATCTATAAACTTAGCACTGAGACACCTTGGACACTCTCTGATTCCCTGTTTCTAACTTTTCATGATTTAAAAGTATCCTAACCTTGCATCTAGTGTGGGTGACTTTACACTTGCCCACGTTGCAGTCTGCTTCCAAAAATTTACTGTTAACAAAACTTTGGCAAAGTTTATGGCATTCTGTGCTATGTTCATAATGCAGTGAGTAGTCAATTATACCAATTAGTGCTTGCCCACTGTTCCTATTCTGTCTCCTGCCTTACTGGCACTTTCCTAATGCATGAGCATTAGCTCAATTCATGATTTAAAAACTGCATTTGAGATTCACGTAGATACACAAAGTTCTGTAGTACAATGGATCTTGCACACAGAATTGTGGTGCACTGTATAATTAGGATAATTGTTTATTGTCTACTCTTGGACAGAGTAACAAATTGTCTAACTGTGAGGCCATAGCAAGTTTGATATAGTAATCTATAAATAGAACATTCCAGCAAATAATCCATTTGTACGTGATTTTAGCTGTGTATAACTAACTGGACTTTTATCTACAATCATATAAGAGTATGAGACATGGGGCATAGCTTAAGATAAGGGGCAGTGGTTTGGCGAGCATTTCTTGTGGAGAAAAGTGTCCAAAAGCTGGTGGGTGTCTGGAACTTGCTGTGTGAAAAGATTGTAGCGGTAGGAACCACCACAACGTTAAGTATAGGATGAACACTTGGGGCCCCTAGCCTTGAATGCTAGGTTGTTTCAAGGTGGTAAATAGGATTACAGCAGATATGTCCATTGGTCTTCAAGCACCTGATAGGTACTTGCATACTAGTCTACACAGCAATTTAGCTTCATATTACTCGGCACAGAAGAAAGGCCAAAACCTAAGGATGAAGTTGGAGCTTTACTGTACCAATTGTTTAGTAGCTGCCTGTGTTCATACCATATCCTAGTCATCATTTGAGACTGACTTAATTTTGCAATTGTTGACTTGGAGTAGACAATGTCAGGCAGCATAAGCTTGTTAGCTAGTAAATGTACAAGTAAACTTCACAACTGCTAAGAATCTGTATGCCTGCTGAAAGCTGAGCTTCCATGTCGCAGCCTCCTTCAGCTAGTTCGACCTTTTACAACTCTTTGGTAATTTTAATGTGCTCCAGGGCTTTTTGTTTCCATGTGTCTGTTCCATGACTGCAGCTCGAGCTCAGGATTGTCAAGGTGTATATGATTGATTTAGTTTGAAGCTAAGGACAGCCTTTTTTTTTTCTGGGATAGCATTTTACTAGCCGCTTGGAAGTGTTGAACTTTGTGTACCAAAAGAACAAAGCATGGTCCTGAATGCCCTCTGCTGGCTGGTTGGTACCACTTGCACCTTTTTGAGGGGGAAAAAATGGAAAGACTGCACTCCCCTTTTTTTTTCCAGAACTAGAGCTAGTATGTCCTCTGGAGAGATTCCTGGTGCTCTTGAGTTGATTTTTCAGCTTCTCTGGTGGCTTGATATTAAATACATGCTCTCTTTAATAAACATTAATTAGGAATAACTATCACTGAGCTGTATCAAGGTATAGCATGCACATGTCCTTTTTACGCAAATTTTAATATTGTTGGTGCCAGAAAGTTGAACGTAGAATTTTAAAAACCAAGTTTGACGATAACTGAAAGAACTGTAGATGCTGGAAATCAATCAAGCAAAAACAAATTGCTGGAAAAATCTGAGATAACAAGGTTTAGAGCTGGATGAACACAGCAGGCCAAGCAGCATGAGACAAGCAGGAAGGCTGAAGAAGGGTCTAGGCCCGAAACGTCAGCCTTCCTGCTCCTCTGATGCTGCTTGGCCTGCTGTGTTTATCCAGCTCTACACCTTGTTATCTCAGATTCTCCAGCATCTGCAGTTCCTGCTATCTGCTGGAAAAATGTAGCAGGTTTGGCAGAATTTGTGCAGACCAATCAGCTAATGTTTCAGGTCCAGTGACCATTCTTCAGAACTTAAGGTTTTGGTGTGCCTGCCATATCCCCAGGAAACGCTCAATTTGCCCTCTCTGCCCACCATTGTAGGGACAGCTGCAGACTGCTGTTTAATGCTTTGTGTTGCTACTGCAACTGTAACCTCTATAAAACTGGCTGGTCGCATCCATCATGGTGTAGACTACACCCTGTTTCTTTGCATGTTTGCTGTTAGTGGAATTTTTTGAGTAAATGCTTTTCCCCTGTGATTATAAGAACCTTTTTTTGATTTTCTATAATGTTTTGTTTAGTTTATTGTGGAAGGTTTAGTTTTTTTTTCCTTGTTCCCTATTGTTACTTCCCTAGTTTCATTCTCTTGCATTGTGCAGGACAGTCCCTGGATATGAAACCATAACTCTTTTCTCTCTACTGAACTGCCAAACCTGCAAATTTCCTCAAGTTTGTTCCGGCTCTAGCACCTGAAGTTATTTTATTTTCTAAGGGCTTGTTTTCCCTTTGGCTTCCTTTTTTTTTTTCTTATTAAAAAAACTGTTGCTATTCATCTTGATGTTAGTTGCAAGGTTACTTTTATTTTCTCCCTCTTTTAGTTTTGGTCATCTTTTTGTTGGCTTTTAAAATTCCCAATCCTCTGGTTACCATGTTTTTACCATGCTTTCACTTGCATTTTCAATTTTGTACCATTCTTATTTGTTTATCCCCTTCCCTAGAATCCTCCTTCCAAACTTTCACTTTTTTTTTTAAAGTGATGAACTGTTTTTATTTAGATTTTTGCATTATTTGTAAACTTTTTTTTCTGGTAAACTCCTTTTTCCAGACCACTCCAGCCAACCCTGATCTCATTTCTTTGTAATTACTCTAAGTTTATACAGTTGTTTCCCTACCCATGTTTCTATATCCCAAATTGAATGCTCATTCCCCCTTGAAGAGGATATAAGTTTAGTTTTATGTGACAGTAACTTAAATAGGTCAAATTAAAAATGACATTTCCTATCAGTAGGGCATTGCTGCATTCTGGGTTGTTTCCCTATGTAATAATGGCAACATTTTTACATTTCTGCAGTATTACAGTCCCTGTTTACTAGGGGATTTTTTTTTCTGGCATCATTTATCCACGCCTGCCTTATTACATTATCATGCACTAGGTCCACACTAGCCTCACCCCTGGTTGGATCCACTGCATGTTGTTCCAGGAAACTCCTGAATGCACTCTGAATTCTTCATGGCTACTTCTGCCAGTCTGACTTTCCCAATGTCTTGGATCACAAGGTGTATCTAAGTATTTATTTTGGATTTGGTTAAATTATAATTAAGAGAAGACTCTAACAACAATTTGCTTAAATGTGGGTGCTTATTAATCATTAATGATGATAAGGGTAAAAATGGAAAAGAGAACAATAAGTCTCCCACCCCTTTGCCTGTTGGGGACCCCTCAGTCAAGGGCTCGTCTGGAGGCTTAGGTTCATTCCCGGTACCATTCATGTTCCCGGTCCAAGATGAAGTCCACCTCTTGGAATGAAACTGTTATAGTGTGTAACAAACAGCAAACCCGGAAGGCAGATACAAGAGACAAAACTGTTTACTATTACAGAAAGCACAACGGAAAAACAAGTTGCTGGTGCTGTCTTTGGCCTGTGAAATGAATGTTCACAGGGCTCAAGGTTGTGCAGTGGTCTAATATTATCATAATTTTCCCATTCTGTACACTCAATA